ATCACAAACATAGGAGCTCATTACAGATCCTAATCACTTACAACATGAAAAGTATTTTCTTCATATTATCATTACTTCTGTTGCCTGTCAGCTTAAATCTGTATCCTCTGGTTTTCAATCTGACCACAAATGGGGAAAAAAAAATTCTCCCTGTTTAATCTGTCCAGACCCATTGTGCATTTAAATGCCTCTACCAAGTCTTCTCAACTCCAAGGGAAACAGTTCTCCAAACTACCAACTTAACTGAAATTCTTCAATGTTAAAATCATTCTTTGAACCTTTTCTGTCCCCTTGCTAATACTTTCACTTCTTTCCCAAACTATGGTGCCTACAACTGCGTTCAATACTCCATTTTACCAGAATCGATGTTTTGTAGAAGTTTAAAACAGCTTCCTTGCTTTTATATTCTACGCCACTACTGAAGCAGCCCAGGATACTGTGTGCTTTATTCAATGCAATCTCAACCTGGCCTGCCATCTTTAATGATTTATGCAAATAAATAACCAGATCCTTTTGCTTCTGCATTCCCTTTAGAATTGTATTCTTTATTTTCTATTGTCTGCACAATCCTCTTACTAAAATGAATCACTTCATATGTCTCTGTATTCAATGTCTTCTGCCACTGGTACACCCATCTACCATAGTCTCTATGCTTTTTGAAGTTCTATCACTCTCACTATTCACAATGCTTCCAAGTTTTGTATCATCTACAAATTTTGAAATTGTGTCCTCTGCATCAAGATCTAGGTCATATATATATCAGGAAGAACAATACTCCTAATATTGATCCCTGGGGATTTCCACCATAAACCTTCTTCCAGTCTGAAAAACAGCTGTTCACTATACTGTTTCCTGTCACTCAGCAATTTTGTATCAATCTTGCAACCAGCATTATGTCTTTAATGTCTTAGCTCCTGGCCTGGCTGCAATCTGTTCATGCCCAGTGATTACCACGTGCAGATCCCAACTCCATATTAACCTCTAAGTTGTACGCATTGTGAACTAGAGACTGCGAGTATCAAAACGAGTGATGGTGCTTGTTTATCACTGGTATGGAGGCTCTTCATGTTCCTCTTGAGCATGCTACTGCTGACTGGTTGGTCGTTTGTACAAATTGGAAAAACAATAAAACCCAGGAGAAGGTTGGCTGAGGAAGGATGGGTGATGTGCAAAAGAAATTCATGGTCATAGCATCTGTAACTTGATCATCATGCCAAAGCGTGATGAGGTAGGAGTTGGGAAGAACCAAAAATGACATATTGTTATCATAAATGGTCGGTGCAACTCCAGATGCCACATACCCTGTTGTGATAGCCCCATTTGATCAATTTTCTCCTCTATTATCTATAATGCTCAGTTTCCCAACATATAGCTGGAAGCATTTTACATGTGACTTGTATTCACATTATGAAGGAATGAAAAATTGTATAAAAGTGCTTTGCTCCAGAAGCAATGTCTTATTTCCCATGCAAATAAACGGCAAACCTGCACAATCCGATAAGTAAAACTGATGAAATGATCTTTGGATTCACACAAAGATGGTTTGTTAGAAGAAGAGATATGCAAAAATATGAAACACTAAATTATCTTTCAATCAGCGAGCCATAAATTTGAGTTTCAACAACATACTTTACCACCTCAAGCCAGACAGAAAGTCACTGACTGAGTCTGCACAAATTGTGTAATAGTCTATGGCCTGGACTTTCCACTACTGTTATTATAACAGGATACTTGATGGAGAGAACCTTTCAAAAGAAGCGAAGAAAAGAGGAAGATTTATTTTCTTAATGTCCAAAGAATGTTTCCACGTCATGTTTTTAAACTGTAAAAAAAAAGTGAAATTCCATATGTTAAAGATACTTCAGCCATTTTCTATGTAAGCAATCCTACAGAAGAAAATCGAGGATAGAACGGCCAGAAGACTTTGAACAAAAACAAAGTTGCTGGAAAAGCTCAGCAGGTCTGGCAGCATCTGTGGAGGAGAAAACAGAGGTTTCGGGTCTGGTGACCCTTCCTCAGAACCTGAGGAAGGGTCACCGGACCCAAAACGTTAACTCTGTTTTCTCCTCCACAGATGCTGCCAGACCTGCTGAGCTTTTCCAGCAACTTTGCTTTTGTTCCTGATTTACAGCATCCGCAGTTTTTTGGTTTTTATTCAGAAGACTTTGAAGTCTCAGAACAACCAGAGAGATAGGCAGTTAATGTCAGTATTGCCTATAACCTCCCAAAATATTCTGAAAATCTGCTGAAAAGAATTGTCAAGTGCACTGCCAGAATAAACTGAACGTTTCTGCTTTACTCATAAAAGTATTACAATTTCAACAAGGCAAAAACTGACCATTTTTATTATAACAGAGCAGAAACTTCTCCTCAGAGAGAAAGAAGTAGCTAACAAAGTTTGGAAATTTAGTAACCCAAAACTTTGGGATGTGTTGGACTATAAGATATATCAGGCCTAATAAATGAAGTTAAAGTAATTAACATGAGCAGAGAAAAAGAAATAGAGAACTTCAAGGGAATAAAAGCTGACTAATTCTCAGGACCTGACAGCCTACAATTTCAGTTCTGTAGTATTAGACTCAAAAATATTATCTCCAAATCAGATTGATAATCGTTAATGGTAAATGGTTAATTGACGTGATAATAAGCAATTGAAGTGGAACAGTGCACGAAAACAGGCCTGATGCAAAAACTGCCTGTTTTGACTGGGGGCAGGCTGCATGACCTTGATTGTCTGTGGGAACCACTTCCTTGTACACTTAACAGGGAGCCACCTGGAGATGTTTTTTGCACAATGGAATGTCTGGAAAAGTACTGAAAATAGTACAAAGTGGTGATCCAGCACATAACCAGAATAATATTAATATCAGCAACTTTGTCCCACGAGTGGGACATTCCCCATTGGACTGGAGCTCGTGAGACTGGGACATTCCCCATCAGACCAGGTTTGAGAGACCGCAGTCAAGAAATCTGAAATACAGCTCCAAGTGCCAGCCAACACCCAGGAGTCCCCAACAGGCAGTAGGCAATGAAACTCACTTACTGAATATGTCCAAAGTAGTTTAAACTAATAGATTCATTCATTAATTTGCATGATATTTAATACATATAGAAAAAGTAAGTTAAGCTCATAAATTTGCTTCATATCTAAACACACGTCTTCTTGTATTGATTTTGATCAGTCCTTAAAGAACCTATTAGGCGCTTTCAGCTTAACAATACAGGCTCTGGAAGACGTAGCTGAGTTGACAGTGGATACCCGAGTCATGATACTCTAGATCCTCAAAATTACAAGTTAGGAAGTGTTACACTGCAGTTCAAAAAAACAGGAAGAAAAGAAACAAGGAACAACTGGCCAGCTAACCTGACATCAGTCAGTCATTGGGACATCCTGGAATCCATTATTCAGGAAGTCTTAATGTAGTTCAGAAAATCATAGTACAACTGGAGTCAACATGGTTTTAGGAAAAGAAAACTGTGTTTCACGAATTTATTAGAGGTTTCTGAAGGAGCTGGTAAATGTAGTATACTAGGCTTTCCATAAGAAATTCACTAAGGTATCCGATAAAATGTTATATGCAAAATAAGACATTTGTGGTCATATTAGCATGCCTGAAGCACTGATTAAAATAAATAGAAATCAGAAAATAGCAATAAATCAGGAATTTTCAAGTTGGCAGTCATTTAGAATCTTTTTTGATAACTTTGACAAAAGCAACTTATCCAAGTTTGCTGATGATACATAGCTAGATGAAAATGCAACCTGTAACGAAAGGTTTCAAAGTGATATAAACAGGTTAAATGAGTGGACAATATGGTGGTAATAGATGGAAAATAATATGGGAAAGTGAGAGACTATACATTTTGGTGGTAAGAATAGAAAAGGAAAATATTTTTTAAAAGGTATGAAATTTTTAAATCTTGGTGGTCAGAGAGTCTCAATTGGGCAGAACTCCCACTTCAGCATAGCTGGCCAATCTGACTGGCCAGTAGCTCTACAGGCTCAGCTGTGGCAGTGGCCAGGACAAGGACTACACAAAACCCCGAAACTAGTTCATGTAGACCGGGATCAGGTAACAGCTGAAGTGCGAGTGCATCTGTGCATGCATGCATACATTGGGGACTGGGGTTGTTCGTAGCAGGGATGGTTGGTGACACCAGGGGGTTTTGATGGAAAGATATAGTGGATGTTGGCTGATGTGGGAAGGGGGCCTTCAGGAAGGCACTGCACCCTCTCCTTCCACCTGAAGCCCAAGGAGGTTCACCTACCTGGCTTTGTCTCATACCAACCCTAAATTTCTCATCCCTCAGAACTAAGGCAGGATGGGAAGCAGCCCTATTGACCATTAAAGATTTCAAATGAAGCAATGCCGGACAGGCCTTTGTATAACTCACTGCTCCACATACAACTGATGGCAGGTCAAGGGTGGGCAGATGGGCTGGGAAGGTCCCCTGGAGAATTTTACATCACCATCCCCCCACCCCCTCCCAATAAATCCACTGGTGGGGATACTGTAAAATTCTGCCCTTTGTCGGATCCCTTTCACAGTGAACAAAAAAAAATGTTATAAAGTAGTAGATCTATCTGCCCTTTCACGTTGATGCAAGAGATCCCACGGACTTTCAAAGAGCTGAGAAGTTCTCTCAAAATTTATCCCTATTAAACAATGTTATACAGTGGAAATAAGACAAGGGAGCACATCTAAACTGGTAAAAGTTACTTTCAGGACACATATCAGACATTTGTCTTTACACAGGGAGTGATCAACATGTAGAAGAAATTACAGATACCAGTATGGAAGCAAAATCCTTGGAGTCATTGAAGAAACGACTTAAAAGATACAACATATGATTTATCAAGTTCTCTTTGAATGGATAAAATAAAGTTGACTGTCTTAACCTGTAATTAACTTATAATCCCACACTGATGACGTGAATTTCAAATGACTTCATTTTTAAATACTAGCCAGTTACTATATTAAGTTTAAATGGAGACAGACCTGTATCAACCTCAATGACTTTCCTTTTGTGTGATGAAGATGATCTGCATGGATCATCACTGTTTCTGGTTGCCATGATGTTGTACTTCTGTTAAAAAGGAAAACAAGTTTGTCTTAAATAAAAATGCTTCATTAGAAAGCAGTGCAAGTACATTTTTTGTAAGTACCCAGTTGCCAAATCTTTCTAAATTTTCAGTTTTTCTTCCCTTTTCTAGAACTGCATTGTATGTGTAAAATTCAATTTCAATGAAAACAGTCAAGAATTTCCTCATCTGCTAGCTAAACATCCAGAAGGAACACTCCCCTTTGCAAAACTCCACATCCCCAACATATTCCCATTGGATTTAAATACTCAAAGGTTGAAATCCATAGGTCATAGTTCCAGTGGCCTCCAGCACTGATAATTAACATGGACAAATAAATGATTGAACAGCCTGATCTTCTGATTGGAAGATAGACTTTGCAGCAAGCTACCATGAAAGATACGATACAGGACCCTTTGGAAGTCCTGACACCAGAATTGCTGGGAAATGTAAAGTTTTGTTGGACAAGTGTGATGCATCTGGAATCCACTGAAACAGATTGCAACAATGAATGTGAGTCACAGACTTGAGGTGTTCAACACACTCACCTGCAAAATGACTCAAGGAAGTTGGAAAGATAAACACCATGTCTAACCCCAAGATAACTATACAATTAACATCACCACCCTCAACCTTCAATTCAAACCTAAGTTCGACCATCAACCCACCGGACAGAACCATTCCCCACCATCTGACCCACGTTACCCATTCACCTACCAATCTACTGCACTGTACCCCCTCAACCAGCTGCCTGCCATCCTGACCCTACTGCCACCATCCTGCCAGCTTGCTCCAAGCCTTTCCCTCACCTGCCTACACCCTGCCCACCTGTCCCGAACCCTCCTTCCCACTTATCGCTGCTCCATAGATTCCCAAAATGCTTTTGGGCCCTTTAGACCCATAAATGCAGTAGTTACCAGTATTAAAAAAAAGGGTGCACTTGTACCCCAACACTGATCCTGCATTACACTGGAAGGCCCCCAGATCAAGTACTGCTCCACAAGTCTCAAGAATCTTGGAAATTCAGGCCAGAAACATGGAATTACAAGGTACAATAAGAAAATCATAGCAATCCAACTTCGGTCACCTAAGATTTGGTCCTAGGTATTTCTGGTATCTGTCTACCTGCAATTGCTCAAAATTCCATGCCTGCTTATGGGTGTAAGATTTGGCCAAGCCCTCTCCACTCATAACCCAGATCCTGTAAACTGTCTGAATTGGGGAGCCAATTTGGTAAAACATCTAAATGCCTGTCCATGATTCAGAAACACACATGTACTATTACGAAGACCAATATGCCTCCACTCAGTGTACTGGCCTCCACTTATGTCTCAGGTCCCTTCCCTGCCATTATTTACCATTGTTAGAGTTATGTTGTTTGCTATCTGCATTGGGAGACCAACATAAGCCTCCTTACTCGAAGAATTTCAAGACCTCAATGTGTTGAGCACTCCCATTCAGGTTTTGTTACATATATACTTGACTGTTTCAATGTTTTGTGGCTAGCCTCCCATAAACCAGAGTTGATCAAAATTCCTACTACACTTAACTGTCATAACTGTCAATATTCCATTACCCTGGGCTCACTAATCTGCAATGAGGTGTTACCAAAGTGGGAACCAATCTTAAAATTCTCAAATTTACAAATTCTCTGTGACTTCACCCCTTCTCATCTTTGTAATCTTCTTTAACCCCACAACCCTCTAAGATCTTTGTGCTCCTCCAAATCTGGTTCCTTGCACGTCCCTTATTTTAATCTCCTGACCATTGATGGCTGTGTCTATAGTTACCACAACCTTAAAAACTCATATTTCCTATGTTAACCTCCTATCATCTTCTACAATCCTTCTAAAAGATCTTTGCATATGTCCTACTACCTCATAACATTCAGTGTCAAATTCTTTGTAGTACCTTGGAATCTCTTACTATGTGAAATGCTAAAATACAAGTTGCTGTAGTTCTTTAAGCTCCACTCACAAAATATACAATTCAGATTGATGTTGTAGTGCAAAATTGCATGAACCCTCATTCTCAGGGATACAGTTATTTAACCCATCTGCTCAGTACAATGGTTCAAGAGATCCAACAGTACCAAGTAAAGGACTCCCTGTACTCCCACAGTCTTGATCAACCTGTCTCCACTAATCAATAGCATCATGAACATAGTCATTGGAAATCCTTCACAACTGAAGCACCTTAGTTCCAAATAAAAACCAAAAGAACTGCAAACCCGAAACATTAACTCTGACTTTTTCCTCACAGATGCTGCCATACCTGCTGAGCTTTTCCAGCAGCTTTGTTTTTGTTCACTTTAGTTCCATGATATCCTATTTTCAAACCTGATTTGAATGTGCATGCGCACAGTGATCCCATGCACTTGTGCCCTTGTCTTTCCAGGTGTTAATAGTCATAGTTGCTATTCAAAGTGCCTAGGTGAGCTGCTGCAGTGCACCTTGTAGACAATAGGCATTGCTGTCATCGTGCATTTGTGATGAAGGAACAGGACATTCAAAGTGATGGTGGCGTGCCAATCCAGTAGACTGCTTTGTCCTGGATGCAATCAAACTTCGAGTGTTGTCAGAGCTGCATGTATCCAGGCATGTGGAGAGTGTTCTATTACACTCCTGACTTGGCCTTGTAGATGGTGGACAGGCTTTGAGGGGACAGCTGGTGAGTTATCTGCTGCTTGCTTTAGCAGCCACAGTATTTGTATGGCTAGTCCAGTTCAGTTTCTGATTAATGGTAACACCCAGGATGTCGCTAGTGGGGGATTCATTGGAGACAATCCGATTATCAGCCCACAAATGGACTTTGTTCAGGAATTGCTGTAAATAACATGAACCGCTTCAGTATCTGAGAAGTTGTGAAAGGTACTGAATATTATACAATCATCTGCAAATATCTTCACTTCTGAATGGATGATGGAGGGGAGGTCATTGATTTTTTTGAATTCATTCATTGGATGTCGCTGAATTGCAAAGTTACCCTTGAGAAGGTGATAGTGAGCTGCCTTCTTGATCCACGCTTGTCCATGTGCAGTGGGTTGATGCATAATGCCCTTAGGGAGGGAATGCCAGGATTTTGACACAGCGACAGTGAATGAACAGCAATATATTTCCAAGTCAGAATGTTTAGTGACTTGGAGGGGAGCTTGCAGGTGGTGGTGTTCCCACGTATTTGCTGTCCTTGTCCTTCTAGATGGAAGTGGTCATGGGTTTAATGATTGATGAAACGGCTGAAGATGATTAGGACTACGACATGGTTCTGAGGAAATAAGGACTCTTGTGTGATTGTGGCAGTGCCCCTGCCCCTGAACAGGAGGCCCAGGTTTAAGTCCTACTTGCTCCATAAATGTGAAATAACATCCTGAACGGGTTGTTAGAAAATATGTACCCTGGGGAATTGTGGGGCCTTATTGTGTAGTGGTTGTGTCCCCAACTCTGAGCCAGATGGTCTGGGTTCAACATTTAATTGCAGTACTGATCAGGTTGATTAGAAAATATTGAGGAAACATCATCAATTGCGATACACTTGTGTAGCTCAGTTCATAGAGCATCAGACTTTTAATCTGATGATCCAGGGTTCAAGATCTGGTCTAGGTGCTGTTTTGGCCACAGTTTGTGCTATTCACTTACAATGATAATTAAACAAAGAAACTGTATCTCTGAGACGTTTGCTCAATTCACAAACAAGATGCCTGAGGAAATAGGTCTCTTCTGGTGCAGGTGGCAGTGTCCCCACCTCTGAGCCAGAAGGCCTGGGTTCAAGTTTCTCTTGCTCCAGAGGTATGACATAACATTTCTAAACAGGTTGATTTAAAAAAAAGTACCCTGAGGAATTTCAGCAGTGAAATCCTGGAACTGATATGGTTGACCTCCGGCACTTCAATCATCTTCATTTGAGCTAGGCATGATTCCAACCAGTGAAGAGCTATTTTCCCTGACTCTCATTTTGCTAGGGTTTTTTAATGCCATATCCAGTGAAATGCTGCCTTGATTTAAAAACAGTCACTCTCACCTCAGTTCTAAAGTTCACCTCTTTTGTCCAGGTTTGAACCAAGGTTATAAAAAGTTCAGCAGCAAAGTGGCAGAACCCGGACTGAGTGACAGTGAACAGGTACAACTGCAAATCACTAACTTTGTTGATGGTTGAGAGTAGAGCAGTAATTGGCTAGGTTGTATTTGTCCTGCTTTTTGCCCTTATTAAGGGCATGAAGAACTACTTGGAAGAGAATAGAGCTCTTTAAAGATCAACGAGGTCAGCTATGTGTGGAACCACAGGAGATGGGAGAGATACTAAACAAAAAATTTCAGTATTTACTATGGAGAAAGATGTGGAAGCTCGGGAACTCTGGGAAATAAATACTGATGTCTTGAAAACAGTCCACATTTCAGAAGAGGAGGTGCTGGAAGTCTTAAAAAGCTGAAAAGTAGTTAAATCAAGTTTATCCTAGGATATTGTAGGAAGCTAGGGAGGAAATTGCAGGGCCCCTAGCAGAATTATTAGTATCATCTGTAGCCTCAGGAGGACTGGAAAGTGGCTAATCATAGAATCCCTACAATGTGGAAACAGGCCCTTTGGTCCAACAAGTCCACGCCAACCCACAGAGCATCTCCCCCAGACCCATCCCCCTATAAACCACCTAATCTACACATCCCGGAACACTATGGGCAACTTAGCTTGGCCAATCCACCTAGCCTGCACATCTTTGGACTGTGGGAGGAAACCCACACAGACACGGGGAGAATGTGCAAACTCACCGTGCCGTGCCTTTATTTAAAAAAGGTTGCAAAGGGAAGCCTAGGAACTATAGACCAGTGAGTCTGATGTCAGTGGTGGGTAAACTGTTGAAGGGGATTCTGAGAGAGAGGATTTACATGTATTTTGAGAGACATGAACTGATTAGAAATAGTCAGCATGGCTTTGTGCGTGGGAAACTGTGTCTCACAAATGAGTTTTTTTTGAGGATGCGACCAAGAAAATAGATGAGGGCAGAGTGGTAGAC